GGGTCATGAACGAAACAGCCAGCCTGCCGGGTCCTCATCCTGGGAGGCCCTGTGATTCACCATTAAGATTAAGCTAGCGCTGTGTTGGAACAACACAGGGCACGTTTACTAGCACACACTGAACTGGATGAGTCCCGGCAAAGGCTGGGCAGCCAGTGATCCGCTGCACTGGGCCCTATCGCTGCCGTCTTCAGGAAAATCAAAGGAAAAAGTGATTCAGAACATGTGGATCTGTCTGTCTGACGTGGAAAGAAGAGGGAAAACACTCTATGGAAAATGGTAACGGCAGGACGAGGCCTTTGATGATAAGTGAATGTGATCGCTGGACTTCAACGTGACGTAATGTTGTTACCCTGAGAGTCCGAAGGACGTTTCTCCTTAGTGTCTCTGCAGCTTCACCAAATTAACATTAAGACTTTTTCAGTGTGGGACAGATATTTTATAAAAATAAATATTCTTAATGATATAATTGATTAATGTCACCACTGCTTCAGCCTAACCGACTAAAAACTCTTCCTTTATATCATTTTAAGATTTTTCTAAAATCTTGTGCAAAGCCATAGGTTTGTTTTCAGAAGTTGCACTGATTAAGGACAACTGGATATCACGTCCAAAGATGGCACCCACACAGAGCAGGCTCAGTCTGAAAGTGGGACTCCATCCTCATGCAGCACAAACTTTACCCGAATCTCCAGACAACTGGCAAAGGAAATGCACATTTCTGCGTGTCCGCCTCCACCGCTGTTCTGTGAATACTCAGTCAGTTTGTGGAGATAAACGTCAGGTGGAGCAGATTCAAAGAGCTCCAGCCAAAGAAGCTCCAACCATGGAAAACAGGATGGAAAGTTTTTGACCTTCATGGAAAGTTTCATGAAGGTTACAGCCTCCTCATCTGTTTCAGTTTGCTGCTGTTTCTCATCTTTTCACTGATGTTCAGGTAACATGATTCATGTGTGTCAAGATTAATTCAGTTTCCAGACTTAAGGATCTGATTTAAACCCCTCTCCGTAAGTAAAAACTCCAGTGAGCAGCTGCTACAGGTTGTTACTGACTGGCTGTTAGTAAAGTCTTCAGAGCTGGGTTGAGGCTGCCTGCACACTGGGTGAATTCAGAATAACAGCAGACTGATCCTGAAGTATTAGAAGTAACATCTCAGACCTTCGGGGCTCGCTGGTGACTTTTACTGGAACTTGAACGTCCTCTGGGTCTCCAGATCCATATCGGTGTGACGCGGACTCCCCCATGGCTCCTTCTCAGTGACCCTGACACAGACATGAAGGATTAAAGGTTTACAAAGAGAGGAAGTCTTATCTGAGCATCGCTGACTTCCTCTCCACTGAAATGTGACAGTCTAGAGGCGCCCGTCACACACTGTCACATCAGCAGGCCAGAAAATTACCAGCAGACGGTGGGGGGGACAAACTGTCTGTGATTTAGGGACTAAACACTTCTCTCCATCCGCTGCCCTGTGCAGAGACCCTGCAGCTTTCAGTCAGGATAGTAAATCCTGCAGGTCTGATCAGCTCGCGCTTCAGTGAAAAGATGTTTGTTTTGTACCTGAATTTCATAGTGGTTTTCTTTCATTCCCTTTCACCAGTTGGGACAGTTTAACCGCCAGCTGGTGAGATATGGAGAAACATCACTGGAACAGTGGAACCCACCGGATCCTGGACCTCCGAGGTGTCATGACACTATATCTGCCCTACATAAACAGGGACGTTTATTTATCGAGATGCACTATCTTTGATGGCACAACAGTGACACAGACATGTAGTTGGCATTTTACAGCAGAAAAACAAGTGGAACCAGCTGCCAGAGATGGACAGCTGCTGCTGTCATCCTCACTTTCACCACTGAGCATCTAACCTTTGACTGAAATGTAAACCAAGCATGTGTGCAACGGTCAAATGCCCCAGTTTCCTCCCAAACTGCAGGGTTACAATATGTTCCTTCCAGTTTGGCCTGATCAGAAGCTTCTCCATAAACATCCACTGCATGTGAAACGTCCTGGTTTCTCCACTGACCCCGTCACTGTCGTCGCTCCCCTCCATGTTTATTGTTACCGGTCTGTAAGGGGACAATGACAACAGTATGTGCAGAGGAGGAGACGTTAAATCCACCACATGTTCACTGAAAGGTTTTGTGCTATATTTTCCTATATCTGTTGTAGGTGTATCGCTCTTGATCTTGTTTACTTTTATTAACGCTATATTTTCCTATATCTGTTGTAGGTGCATCGCTCTTGATCTTGTTTGCCTTTATTAACATACAGTGTTGTTTTTCTTTAGGGTCCTGAGCTGCATGAACGTTGTGTGTGGAAGTGTTGTGGCAGATCATCATGTTGTCGTCCGTGAGCGCTCTGACTTGTGTATCTTTAGACCAGCCTAGTTTCTGCACAACTTGCGGATCTATCTAGAAGAGAGTGAAGCCTTACTGAGTGATGGGTGGGCCGTGAGCCAGCTGATGGGACACAGTTCTCAGAGCTGGTTCTGAGACAGCAACGTCTCCCTGAGAGGCAGACGTGTCGCTAATTACTTTTACAGAGTCAAGAAGCATGTGGCGCCCGCCACTGGTCACAGGTCAGGCCGTATACTGCAGCGTTACAGCTCCGTGTGGGCATGTTAAGCCTCAGCAGTGGGATTCCCAACAGGAACCAGCTCCCCACATTCAGGCTGTGTTTGCCCTGGTCTCAGCGTGGTCCAGACCAGCACAGTCAGCCCTTTATCTCCATCCGAATTTTTCTGTGTTTGCGTCGGAGACAAGAGTTGTTTTTTTTATCAGCCTCATAATTCAACCTTTACAACATGAGCAAACATTCCAACGGTTGTTGCCTCCAGGCTGCAGGAGTCCAGACCGAGCTGCTGCCTCGCTCACCAATTAATGATTTGTGAGGGTTTCAGTATCCTTCTTTGCTTCCAGCCTGCGTCGACCAGCAGCTGGGAGTCGACAGACTCTGTAAACAGCTCGTTCAGCATCATATTCACTCAGAAAACCTGATGTTTCGCAGAGAAAACCGATCAGCCAGCCAGGCTGAGTTCATCCCACTGAACTCAGTTTTCAACTGGTATGGTTTTCTTTTGATTCAGGGTTTAGCTTGGAGCTGCTGTCAGTGTGTGGAAACACACCAGGCTGTTCCACTGTGAGGAGGCTGCATGATTTAAGCTTCAGGCTGAGTTATACCCCGAGACATGTGGTTTTATATCCCTCCCAATGGCTGAGTTTCCACGTTTTCAGAAGATGAACTGTCTCTGTCTGTGGCTTGAAATCCAGCACGGATCAGTTTTACGGTCCCAGCTGACTGAAGGCTGGTTACTGCTGCTGGGCTATGACTATGAACAGACTTCAAACAACAGAGTTCAGTGGCAATAAGCTGGAGAAGTGTTGAGTGCTGGTCATGGGGAGAAGCCCTGTGTTGCTGCAGAAGCCAGCTCAGTCTAAACACACGTCGATAGCATCGCGCCAGGACAGTGCAAATAAACACGACTCTGGCACCACAAGGGCTCGGAAAGACTCCCCTGGCCGCCACACACATACTACTGCAACACATTAACACACATCACCACAGCAGCAACTTTTACCAGCACCAACAACACACAACACCAGCACCACACACCACTGCAGCATCTACTGTGACACACTCCGCTGCTGTGATACAAACTACTACAACACACTTCACACCGTGACCACTTTCACTGCACCCATTGTCACCAGCGCCACAAAGTGTGCTATCACTGTACTTGTCCTTCACCTGAGCACTTCTGTCTGATGCCATATTTACATCCTGCTCCTCTGGCCTTCTTGTTGCTGTAGTACATGTATCTGACAGCTGCACTCACATGTTACTGTGCCAATTAAAGGACTAGTTCAAATTTTAGATTTGCTGCTTTGTTATTGTTATTGTATGTCTGGTGCCTGTACACAGAACTAATCAAACTCGTGCTGAAGTGAAACCCTGATAACAGGAGTTGAACCACTGAGTATTTTTATTTCTGTACTGGTCCCATCACTTCCTGTCACACTTTCAGCGGTGAGTGATGTCACCTGTAACACTAGATGTAATACTACTGTTACGACCAATACTACTGCTGCCAGTACTTCAGTGCTAATAATATCCCCACAGTATTGTGTGCGCGTGCTTGTGCGCGCACTGCGGGTGGGAGGGGGTTTCGGGCCAACATAGGAGGGCTGGTCTCGCCTTCAGCAGATCCAGAGCGGGATTACATCAGCGCCCTGTTGGATATTTGGGTGCAGTCAGAGGCGCCTTCAGTTCGGCTGCGGAGGACCAGAGGCGACAGCCGGCGTGCCAACATGCGGACTGAGAGCAGAGACCTGAGGGGCGCGGAGCTGTCTCACTGGGACCTGCTGACCGGGGAAGCTCGGGGCTGAGTCCCGGGTCGTGGACTGTGCAGTTACCAACCCCCGGTGTGAGCGGTGCATCTGCTGCGCGCTCTCAGCTCACTCTTGGATACCCTCTCTTCAGACTTTCCGAGGGCCTGCCGGGGCTTTCTGTTCTTCTGGGAGGATTCTCTCTGAATCTTAAGACTGTGTGGGACGGGGACGTGCACAGTGGACATGGATAACTCCTCTTATTTCTTGGCTCTGTTTATGCTCGTACTCTCTCTGGGCTTGAGGATAGAGGAGGGCATGTGCCAACATTACTATCTCCTCCGTCCCATTCCCAGTGACACTCTGCCCGTAGTGGACTTAAAGGAGGACCCGGATCCGGTGCTGGACCCTAAGGAGAAGGACCTCAATGAGACGGAGCTCAGGAGCGCTCTGGGCAGCCACTTCGACTCGCACTTCATGTCCGTCTCCCCGCCGGAGGACAGATACGCGGGGAACGAGGACGTGGGTGACGCGGAGATGCGGCAGAAACTCTCCGGGGCGATGCCCAAAGAGATCCGATCCATGGAGTTCGAGGTCCAGCACGGCAAGAAGCTGAAGCCGAGTAAAAAACTCCGGAGAAGGCTGCAGCTGTGGCTGTGGTCGTACGCCTTCTGCCCGGTTGTTTACGCATGGAACGACCTGGGCAGTAGATTCTGGCCGCGCTACATTAAAGTGGGGAGCTGCTACAACAAGCGGTCTTGTTCGGTCCCTGAAGGGATGGTCTGCAAACCTGCCAAATCGACTCATTTTACGATCCTGCGATGGCGCTGCCTGCAGAAAAAGGGGGGCCTGAAATGCGTCTGGATACCTGTTCAGTACCCCGTCATATCCGAGTGCAAGTGCTCCTGTCCGAACTGAGAGCGACTCTGTGGCTGCAGCCACACGAAAACGAACCTTCCATGATTATTTTTATACACAACTGCAAAACATACTGAGCCAGACAAAAAGTAAAACCTCAAAAGATAAAAAAAAAAAGTTAAGAAGACGAGATTTTAAGCCTGAACTTGAGGTGGCTTGTTACAGAGACGTATTTTTGCAGTGAATGTATATTTGATGTACATGTTATTTTATGCCAGAGCTCTGTGTTATAAGTATAATCAAATCTACTGTGTTTGTTAAATGTATCTTGCCTGTTTATAAAGGAGGATCCAAATGCTCACAGTGAGGGACTTCTGGAGCTGAGGAACCACTGACATGATTTTATGGACCACATGGGAGATGTGAAGAGACCTGCTCCAGAGTCGGGCCCCAGCTCTTTAGAAACGCGTCAGCTGAGATCAGTGACGCCACAATACATGAAAAGTATCCGTGGTGAAAGTTATTGTTAAACGGTTTTGAATATTTTTAACAAAATGTCCATTTCAGTCCGAACTCGTGAATATCTCTCGTGGATGCTGTAAAATAAAGAGGGACAGTTGGTTGTAAACCACGTGAGCTGTTTTGTTTCTTTTTAGAAACTAATCACATGTATTGATTCGGATGTCTCTCGGTGCTTCCTCATCAGTGGTGGAGGTGCAGGACTGGGTCTGTATAAGCACCACGGAGTAAAAATACTGCATTACACGTCCAGTATTTAAAATGTTACTCAAGTAAAAGTATGAAAGTACGTATAGTCAGAAAAATGAACCAAAGTGCTGAAAGGCAAAGACTGAAGTGCAGAAACCTGTTAGTGTTGTATATTAAAGGGTCATGATTTAAAAGAAATGTATTGAAATAATGGAGGATGATCAGTTATCAATCAGCGAATCGTTCGATCTGTATTTACAGTTCCATTTGTTAAACAGTATCTTTAAGTACTGTACCTCTAAGTGGAGTTTGAGGACGCGGCTCTCAGCAGACGGTTGGAGCACGTTACAGCGCAGGAAGGGTTAACTCAGACTGGTGAGGCGGGAAACACAGGGCTCACCTGGAAACGCAGTATGTCCTGGCTGTCAGTGTGTTTCTGAGAAATCAGTCCAAAGACAATTTGGTGGATATGTCTAAGTACTACAGTACCCATGAGCCTCCGCTGTTAGAAGAAGCAAGTCACGCGACTCGGAACACTGGTCAGAGACCGATTGAAATGGGTTCCATCTGCAACCTCAGCTCACCTTTAGCAGGAGCTCTTTGACTGGATGGTTATCACAGAAATGCACCTTGGGAGCTGTAGTTTTTCTGACCATGGGCCTCGTAACATTTTATCAAAGAACCTGATATTCATCTTTTGTTCTGATGATTCTTTTTTGCTCCAGGAGGAAAGAGGAGTTGTTTAAACACTTTGACTTCTGAACGCCCACAGTGACTCCTCTCTACTGTAGCTGGCTCGTATTGTGCTTTGCTGTAATTGGGCGATCTCCCACCTGCAGCACAACTGGCGTTATTGTCCAACCTCCAGCAGCAACACAACTATTGAGACAAATGAACTCAGCAGCCACGTGTGGAGCCAAGTCCACACACAGACTGTGTGCTGATGAAAGCACAGTGGTCTGTGCAGGTGAATTAGAAAGATTCATCAGTGAGGAACTTTTTCCTGCAGCTCAGGTGACCCTCACCCTGATGCAACATGTTCTAACGTCATTTCCAAAAGCTCTCACTGCGCTGACGGGACCATCGGTGGAAAGTAACTGACTACATCTACTCAAGTACTGAAGCACAGTTTTGAGTTCTTTGTACTTGTCCTGCTACTTCATACTGTGACTTCATTCCTTGTCAGAGACAAACCTTTTTACTGCACTACACATACTGTATCTGATACCTTCAGTTCCTTTCCAGAATCAGATGAATCAAACCAAACCCAGTAGAATCATCAGACTCTATTGATCCTGGTGGGAAATCCACCTGCTCCCCAGCAGGATGTAAAGTACTTCACAGTACAAGCATATAAGGTTGTTAACATCAGCTCCACCTTTACCAGCTGCAGCATTCTACACTGTGGTACTTCTACTTTTACTAAAATAAAGGATCTGAGTACTTCTTCCAGAGCTGAGAGGGACCACGTTTGCAAAGTTACATACTTCAGCAGGTTTGTTTGCTGCCACAGAATCACCTACAAACTCCTGTTGTTAAACCACTAAACTATACTATATAGTATACAGTATAAACTATAAGGCTGTACTGGTGTCGTGTTCCATGCAGTATTCACAGAAGCAGAGGCTAAAGCTGTACACGAGTACCAGACTGTGGTCAAGCTCATTCAGAACGGGAGCATCCACCTGGTTTTACTGCTGTAAGTTCAGCTCTCCTCTTGTGATCTGAAGGCATCTCATTGAAGTGCTGCCTCCAGCGTCCTTGACTCTGTCAGTCTGTTATAAAGAGACTCTCAGGCTGTGAATCTTTTCTGAGACGAACTGAAGTTACCCTTTATATCTGCATTAACCATACTGTATCTATCCTACACACAGCCCTGTCGCCCTTCTGGCTTTCCATTGCTTAAACATGTTCAGACCGTGAGGCGTTTCGCACAGACATGAGGCACAGGTGTTCTGGATCAGGGCTCATCAGGCGATCTGGGCGGAGTGGAGAGGAAGTGCAGAGGATGAAGAAGGCTGGAGGTGTGGAGGATTCACACAGGCTCTTATCTCTGCAGGTCGAGGTCAGACCGGGCTTTGATGTGTGTGACCGGTGGCTGGCACTGCTGGTGCTGAGCCTCGTACCCTCCCTGCAGCTCGTTTATCAAGGAGCATGCTGGCTCTCATGTCCTTGATCCACTTTCAGACTCCAGTGTCCTCTGACTGTAACTAGCCACCGGGGTAGAGCTACTGTGTTACACACTGCTGTGTTAGATAAGAGTGATTACAGATAAACGGAGGCAAAATTCTGAGACAGTTTGTTTAGTTGTCTTGAGATTATTATTACTCCCTTCCAGATGAATTTTAAGGAAAAAATAACCTCAGTTAACATTCACCTTTTTATGTATTATTTTGAAAAGTTCTTCTTCTTTTCTGCCGAATGGTGTGGTTGTGTGGACAGTGGCCACCTCATGTCCTCTGAGTGAAAGCTTCAGCTTTGTGCCAGCTTTACACTTAGAGTAGCGGCTGATCACTCCCATGTTTTAACTTGGGTATAAGGATTCCACAGCGCTCAGAGAAACAGTGCCTTGTCCTGGACTCGATGAGACCTCTGAAGATGCA